GTATTGCTAAGTTTTTAAGCATTGAATCAGATCCCACCCAAGTTGGTTGTTAAACATTTACTAGCAAGCACATCACTGTCATGATTATTATAGTAATCTGTAATGCTCTAAGTCTTGAAATCAGATGCTGATTTCAAGATGAAAGTTCCATCTTCCAACTTCCTTCTTTTTAAAAATTACTTTGGCTATTTTTGTTCCTTTGAATTTCTAAAGTTTTTCAATTTTAGAGAAAAATCCTGCTGGGGTTATGTTGAATCTATAGATCAATTTGAGGAAACAGTGACATCTTCCAATCCACAAATATGGGATATTTCTTCCATTTACTAAATTCTTTAATTTCACTCTGCAATGTTTTCACTGTTCTTTCTGATTTGTAAGACCACTGTAGAAGTCTTACCACTGTAGAGTGGTAACATCTACATCTTTTCCTAAGTTTATTCTTCTGTGGAACAGTCACTTGGCCTCTCCATGTTGTGTGTACTTCACCACAGCATGGTGAACTCAGGGTAGTCAGACTTTTTACATGGCAACATATGCCTCTAAAAATAAGGGTTTCAGTGGACAAGACGGAAATTGCATGTCTATTTATGATCTAGCCTCAATGTCACATAGCATCACTTTGTACTCAATTGGTTAAAGTAGGTACAACCTGCCCAGATATATGGGGAAGAGACACAGACCTCAACTCTTGATGGAAGTAATGTCAAAGAACTTGCAGCCATGTTTTAAAATTGCCACATACTTTTAAAATTTCATTTTCAATGGTTTTTTGTTAGTATAGAAACATATTTTATATATTTTTATAGTTTTATACTTATCTAGTAGGCTGCCTTCTTTTTGCGAAGATTTCTTAGAGTCTTCTAGGTAAACAATCCTGTCTGCAAAGACAGTTTCATATCTTCCTTTCCAATTGTTATACTATCTGCTTCTTTATTTTAATTTTTAAAAATTTTTCTTATTTTACTATATCAGGCCATCTGTATATATATTTTAATTTATTTAAATAATCCAATCCACCTGTCTTGGCCTCCCAGAGTGTTGGGCTTCCAGGTGTGAGCCACTGGACCCAGTTTTGCAGTTTTGGATTCATGTATTTTGAACCTCTATTAAGTACATACACATTTAGGATTATTTTATTTTCCTAGTAAATTGGCCCTTTTATGTTTATCAAATCTAGGTGTAGTAGTACTTTTTGTCTACTCTGTCTGACATTACTACAGTCATTCCAGCTTTCTTATGCTCCATGTTTACACAGTGTATCTTTTTCTGTTCTTTCCCTTTTACTCTGTGTGTGTGTATACACACACACACACACACACATATATTTATTTATTTTTTGAGACAGAGTCTTATTATGTTGCCCATGGTAGAGTGCCGTGGTGTCACAGCTCAAAGCAACCTCAAACTCTTGGGCTTAAGTGATTCTCTTGCCTCAGCCTCCAAAGTAGTTGGGACTACAGACACCTGCCACAATGTCTGGCTTTTTTTTTTTTTTTTTAATTGTAGCTGTCATTGTTGTGTAGCAGGCCTGGGCTGGGTTCAAACCTTCTGCCTTTGGTATATGTGGCTGGTGCCCTAATTGCTGAGCTACGGGTGCTGAGCCCTGTGTCTTTATATTTAAATAGCTTCATGTAGAGGGCATATAGTTTGGTCTTGCTTTTATTCAGTCTGACAGCTTGTCTTTTTAGTGTGTTTAGTCCACTCACATTTCAAGTAATTACTGTTATGATTACTTTTAAATCTATTATCTTGCTTGCTCCACTGTTTTGTTAAAAAAATTCTTTCTTTCCTGAATTCTTTAGGGTCAATCAAATAACTTTTAGTATTTCATAATTTTGTTTCTAGCTATTGCTTATGACAGTGAGTAAAAACACAGAAGTAAGATGAAGTAACTATATTTACTTATAGGCTGGGCACGATGGCTCACACCTATATCCGAGCACTCTGGGAGATGGAGGCAGAAGGACTGCTTAAAGCTAGGAGTTCAGGACCAGCCTGGGAAATATAGCAAGATTATATGTTCATAAGAAATTAAAAAAAAGCTAGGTATGAAGTGTGGTGGTACATGCCTATAGCCCTAACTACTTAAAAGGCTAAGACCAGGGGGATTACTTCGCTTGAGCCCAGAAGTTTGAGGCTGCAGTCTAATTAGAATTGTTCCACTGCACTCTAGCCTGGGTGACAGAGTGAGATCCTGTCTCTAATAAATAAATAAATTAACTAGTCAACTAACTTAGAATAATCTTTGTCAAATAGAGATATCTAAAGCTGGTTATGGAAACCTAAATGAGCAGCAAATATATCTTGTAGTAAAATTATAAAACATATGAATTATGATTGTGAACTGGAATTAACCCTGAAAGGATCTAAATAATCTCCTGCAATTAGTCTTAATGTGTAGATCCTTTTATCACTTCAGATACCCTTAACATGTGAACAGTTTCCACATTTAAGTATCTGTTCAAAATATATTTCCTGAAATGCCTACTATGTTCAAAATGAGGTCACAACTATAAAAGGTAAAAGTTGAATAAAGAAAAGGTTTCTACCTTCAATAGCATACAATGTAGTCAGGGACAAGATAAGTACAGAAATAACTAATTCTTGTAAACCACAAAGTATAACACCTGGCATATAGTATTTATTAATGTTAGTGAACAAATTTAAAGTTATTATTATATATACATAGTAATATACTGAGTACCATAACATTTAATGTCAATTTGGAAGGTCACTGTTTCTGATTGGAGGAGGACAAGGGGATCAGCAGGTATTTAATGAATGAGGTGGCAGTGAAGCTGGTCCTTCAAAGATGGGTAGAATTCTGACAGGCAGAGAAGTGAGAAGTAAAAGGAAAGGAAACAGTAAGTAAATGTATGGAAATGTTGGGAAATGAAGGAGAATGTTTAAGGATGAGGGAATATTTTAGTTTATAAACACAGGCTTCATAAGGATTAAAGTGAATAAGGTTAAAAAGTAGGGCAGATCCTGACCATCAAGTATCTTGAATATTAGACTAAAGAGCTAGAAGTTAATTCAGTAGGCAATAAGGATCACTAGATACCGAAGGGGGAAATCATGTGTCAGAGAATTGCTTTATAAAGTTTTTAGTTTTAAATTTAAAATAAGCTCTGGGAAATATTATTAAAGAAAAAATATGCACGATTTACTTTTCAGTCTGGTTTGGCATGCTCCTAATGATATCAGTTACCTGGACCAATGTTAGCCAGTGCGCATACTCTGTAGTATTTTCCACATGTATGCCCAGTTCAATATTATTAGCACTGTAGTGATGGATGCCATGGCTAACATGGCATAGTACTGTATTTCAGATTTCAAAGTTTGGCAATTGCTAGTGAAGATGACCAATTTCTCTTGGCTTTATCTTACCATCTTTGGAGTCTGCTTTTGCCCCAGCACATACTTTTTGCTTTTTGTAACAACTCCGACGATTTTTCGGTCTTCTTTGTGGCCACCATCTTCCTGCCTTAGATGCTGCCAAGATGGCTGGGAGTGAGAAAGGAAGGAGTTCCCATAACGCAAAGCTCTTCACAGTGGCGCTGGGATGCCAGCAGCCTTATGGAGCTTTACCTGGAAGCAGTACGAAGATTGGGGAAACTAGAAAGAGCTCCCCCACCTGGTATGTCACGAACAGGTTAGAGGTGTCCTTAAATTTCAGCCCTTGGGGGCATCTGGGGTTGGAAACAGATGTAGCCTCAGGGCTAGTCATGTCCAGCCAGGAGGAGTCATAAATTTTTATCTTGATAGGCTGTATAACCTTTTATAATTTTTTAAGTGTGTTATGATGTGAAAGAAACACTAAAACAGAGAACCACAGAAGACCAGGAAGGGTAATACAGATATGACGTCATGGGCAGTTCAATAGCTCTTGGGGTAATAAAGGTAATGAGATCGATGGATGTGAGAAACATCACAAAGGCAGAAGTAACACGTTTTGGAGACTGGGTTATATACAGGAAATATGATTAGCAATACTTATGGAGAAACTCTAAGGTTTAAACAGGTTTAGAGTATAGTCAAGGTTTTAGGTAGTGGAAATTACGACAGAGGTCATCAGAATTGAGAAAAAAGAGAAATTTTGCTATCCAAATAACCAGCATGGAAGCTAAAATAAATGCAGAAGATGGCCAAGAGAAATAAGAATCATCTTTCCTTATAAGCACTTCTAAAACCCTTGAGAAAGGTATATAAGTCTCTCAGGAATAAACATGATTGCTCAGAAATCTCATGCTTAAGCAAACCTCTTTGGATTCCAGAATTGACAAAACACTGTTAAGGGTATGGGGCAGAAAGACTTATAAAGATGTGCACTATCTTTAGGGAAACGGTTGCACTTAGGACACAGATGACACTAGAATTGCAGAGGACAAAGGGAGGAAATTCATGCACATGAATTCGAGGAAATGGGATTTCATTTAATTTTTTCCCACTTTTTAAAAAGTTCTCCTGAGATATAATTTATGTATACATAAAACATCCTTATACCTTGTAAATAACTCTTAAAGTATAGAATTAAGTGATTTCTAGTACATACACAGAGTTGTGCAACCCTGGATGTCATCCCACTTTACCTGAATTGATGTAATAATAGATACACAAAAAGATACACATAAAGACTGGGGAGAATCCTAACCATATTCTGAACAACTCTGAGTTGCAGCCATAACTTCACTGACTTATTCAAGCTCTACAGAAAGGACCGAAAGTTCTGCTATCTTCAGTATAAGGAAAATGCATTGTATTTGTAAAGAAGAATAAGAATTTTTATAAAGAAAAGAGGAAGTAGAAGTTAAAGCAGGAATTTGGTGCTTTTTCTCTCCAAGTAAAATTTTTAATCTGTTAACTATATCCTGTAGGATATCACCTATGGAACATTTAATTTTGGCAATGTGATAAAAATACTCATTCCTAAAGCATGATCCTGGTGACCTGGGGCTCCAAAGCTTCCATCTTTCACTTCCTTTCAACCTTATGTGTACCTTTGTGGAGATTCTCCAGGGGCTCCAGGACACCCCTCCGGAAAGAGGCCATGGGGTCTTGAACACAGGACCGCAGGCTCAGCATGCTCTGCAGGTGAGGCTCCCGAAGAAGTTGCTCCCGATAGGCTGTCAGCTGAGGTGAGCGGCAGAGCAGGGCAGCAACATTGTGGACGAATTCTGGTACCAGACAGGTATAGGCATTATCTGCTTGGCAATAGTGATAGGCAACCACCTACAAAAGAAAGTCGAGAATACAAACAGGCTTCTCAGTAGCAAGAGCAAAAGCTATGACTATTACATGATCATTCTGCAATACTGTCTTTTTTTTTTTTAGACAAGATCTCGCTCTGTTATCTGGGCTAGAGTAGAGTGACATCATCATAGCTTATTGCAAACTCAAATTCTCAGGCTCAGGAGATTGTCCTGCTTCAGTCTCCTGGGCTGTTGGGACCACAGAAGCATGCCACCATGCCTAGCTAAAAAAAAAATTTTTTTTTTTTTGTAAAGATGGGGCCTTGCTCTTGTTCAGGCTGGTCTCAAACTCCTGACCCCAAGCAATCCTCCTGCCTCAGCCTTCCAAAGTGCTAGGAGTATAGGCAAGAGCCACCATGCCCCACCAATTCTGTCTTTTACCTCTTTATTCCTCAACTTTTCCAATAAAAGTTGCTATTTCAGAAACTGCCTGATTATATAGGATCAGAAATTTGACACATTATTTCTTTCAGTGTGATATGATATTATAACCTAGAATTAATTATAAATGAAAGTTGAGTTTTCCCTCTGGATTATTAAAAATAGGAAGCAAGCCTGAGAATGAAGATTTATATTAATACCACTAGCATTTATTTAGCATGGTACAGCACAGGAAAGAGTCTAATCTTATAACAAAGTGTTAGGGATAAAATAATCAGAGAAAAATCAAGTTAGTCTCAACAAACATATATGCTAACATCACATTTTTGATTACAGCTATTTTATAAACTAAGCCTTATAAAAATAAAATAGTTCAGATTTAAAAATCAGCATTAACCACCATTACCACCACCACCACCAAAAAAAAAAAAAAATCAGCATTAAGGCTTGTTGCCTATAGCTCAGTGGCTCGGGCACCAGACCATACTGGGGTTGGGAGGTTCAAACCCAGCACGGGCCTGCCAAACAATGACAACTACAACAACAACAAAAAATAGTTGGGCGTTGTGGCGGGCGCGTAGAGTCCCAGCTACTTGGAAGGATGATGCAAGAGAATCACTTAAGCCTAAGAGTTTGAGGTTGCTGTGAGCTATGATGCCACAGCATTCTACCAAGGGTGACATAGTGAGACTCTGTCTCAAAATAAATAAATAAAACTAAGCATTAAATGTTTTCTGAGCACCCAGACAGAGACAGAGTACCAGGATTAAATTACAGGAAGAAGAAAGGGGTAAGATTTTGTTAGATGTAGGTCTTAAATTCAAAGAACTTAGAAAATGTCTGAGTCTTACATATCATGTAAGGTCTGTAGGTTGTCTGGCTAGGACCTGGAGTTGAAGGCTTTGTTTAGTTGCATAAAAACACCTGAAAACATTCTGCTCAATGCTCACTCCATTTATATTCTCATTGTTTTCTTTGCCTCAACGGCAAGTGCAAGAGGGGATTTTTCTTTCTTTCTTTTCTTTTTTTTTTTTGAGACAAGTCTTTTTCACTCTTGGTAGAGTACCTGGTAGAGTGCCATGGTGTCATAGCTCGCAGCAACCTCAAACTCTTGGGCTCAAGTGGTCCCCCTTGCCTCAGTTTTTCATTTTTAGTAGAGATGGGGGTCTTACTCTGGCTCAGACTGGTCACAAACTTGTAAGCTCAAGTGGTCACCTGGCTTGCAAGATGGGATTTTAATCTAGACTACCCTTCTGGCTCATTACTACCCAGAAAAGTGATGGAACTGTGAAGAAAATATGAAACTGTCAGGGACATTCAGCTTGAATGCATATAAAGCATTTGGCAGGTCCTCAGCACAGAGTAAGTACACAGAACATCAGTTAATGGTGCTATTATCAACCTCATCTTCATCCTCCACATCTTCATCATCACCATTACCATCCTCAAGGATTTGTATATTCTGCCTTTTTTTCAGCTACTAGCTTTGTGCCTATAGGCACCTGAAATGTGTCCCATTCATGGATATATGTGGGTCATTATGTAAGTTTTAAGATATACACAAATCAAGAAATGTAGTATCATCCAGGATGCAAACAAAGGAAACCCTCCTAGCAACAATGATTAAAAACTGAACAGGCTGAAACCTGCATAACAGAATCAGAAAAGACTCTGTCAACTATCCTTCTTGGAAGTGAAATAATGAACCGTAATAACCTATCTAAAAACTTTCATAGTGTCCCAAGTACAACTAGGATTGCAGCTCTTTAGTCATCTCTTAGAGAACAGTCACTAAAGAGTTCCACTTAATCTACCAGTATGGTTATCTTCGCTCTTGTAACCACGCGAGAAATGTTGAATTTTTTTCTTTTTTAACAAAACACCTGAAACCATTCTCATCAAACATAAAAATAAAAATCAAACAACATAGGAAATATCACTACATATGTGAAGTTGAAGATACAAAATGCTTGTGAGCGAAGCAATGAAGTCTGAACAAAATATGGAAACTGGCAATCAGAGGTTGTATTTTTAAAATCTCCACTCTTTTCTTTAGATAGCTTGGTTATTGCTTTATTATGTGTTTTAAACATAATGTAAAGAATCCAAAGAGAACTGAATGCTATAGGTCAGTGGTTAGAGTGCTGGCCTTGCAAACCAGTGGTTGCGAGTTGGAGCCTAGGCTTGATTAAAAGAAAAAGAACCCAAAGAGAAAACTAGTGAGCAACTGGTCTGTCCTCTCAATGAACAATGAATGTCAGTGGTTATGTCTACCTGGGTATAAATCTCCACTTGATAAAATGCGATCAAGCCTCTGAATCAATATGAATGTTCATCATATTTACTTCATTTAATTCCACATGATGAAGCTAAGCATGGCTAAACAAATAAACTGTAACTTATCCTTTACTTAAAGTGACAGGGTATCATTTTGAAGGCAAAAAATTCTGAAATTTAGAAAAAGGGTACTTTTACTGATTTGATTAAAAATCACCTGTACTTTTGGCTGAATAAGGTTTCTTCTAACAAAGGTCAAGCTAAAGCTGGACCTTCTATAGTCATATAGTCATATGTCTTTCTTACTTCTCATTTAAAAATTTTCTTTGGCATTCCAAATATAAAGTTGTAATCCCTTTGCTGAATTCAGATAGAAAAACCATTCAATAATTCCATGAGATTTTGCACTGTGTAGTATGTATGTGTACATATAATCTGTTATAACATTTGGTACTTCTCCCAAATATTCCATTAATATTACCTACAACAAGAAGTCTGGAAATGTAGATTTTTTTCTTCATTCTCATATTGAACCAATGCTCAGTGACAGATGCTATATAACTCCCTACATCTTTGAAGTCATCGTCATGTTCATCTATACACAGTCACTATTATTATAACTTCTTGGAAATGAAGGATTAGCCTAATAATTCAGTAAGTATAACTTTTCTTTGGTGGATTCCTGTCTCTCAAAATGATTTGTGTTAATTTTAATTTTAGATATATCTTTCTTACATTATTAATTTTTTTATCTCAAGTTTTCCTAATGTTAAACCTCTGAACTTTTTGTTAAAACAATTTTATTCAAAGTATATCTGATGTGACCAGAATTCCATTACTTCTTTTGAAGTAGACAGCAAGTAAATTTTAGGTTAGCTTTATGAGGGAAGAAAGAAAAGGGCAGACTGTAGACTATATAGACAAAGAAAAGACTGAAAGTCAGTCTAGCCTTATGTATATTTTGTTTAGTGCTGTATCAAAGAAATGATGAAACCATCATGAATCTCATCAAAGGGAATGAATGGCAGTAAATCTGTCAGTATTGTGGTAAAAGTCACAGGCCTTCCCTTTCCACAGACCATTTTCTATTTTAAATGAATAATCTGTGACAGGATTATGGTAATCCTACAGAAATAAAAGGTAGCTTGACTATGTGAACGCATTTGTGAATCTAATTTACACACTGACTGGCACTTGCGTCATTTAAACAAACTATAATGTTACAACTGCCCTTCCTTCAGGCCTGCCCTCATCCTCTTACTCCAGGCCTCCTTTCTATCACTTCTTCTAAGAACACCTTTCTTACTACCACCTGATTGATTACCTAATCAGCACAGCTCTTCAGTTTGGTTTTTAACATTTCCGGGGATATGGAGGCTCACCATAAGTAACTTTCTTCCTTTCTTTTCTTTTGTTGTTTGGGACGAGGCAAGGTTTGAACTTGCTGTCCCTTGTGTGCAGGGTCAGCGCCCTAACTACTGAGCTACAGCAGCCAGCTCAGGAAGTAACTTTCTGTTACTTTTCTCTATTTTTTTTTTTTTTTTTAAGACTGAGCCTCAAGCTGTTACCCTGGGTAGAGTGTCATGGCATCATAGCTCACAGCAACGTCCAACTCCTGGGCTCAAGCGATTCTCCTGCCTCCACCTCCCAAGTAGCTGGGACTACAGGCGCCTGCCACAATGCCTGGCTATTTTTTGGTTGCAGCCGTCATTGTTGTTTGGCTGGCCCGGGCTGGATTCGAACCCACCAGCTCAGGTGTATGTGGCTTGAGCTACAGGTGCCGAGCCAATATACATAATTTAATTAAAAATACTTTATTGCAAAAAGTGCTAATGATCATTTGAGCCTTCAGTGAGTCATAATCTTTCTGCTGGTGTTAGGTCTTGCCTCAGTGTTGATGGCTGCTGACTGATTAGTGTGGTGGTTGTTGAACACTGTGATGTCTGTGGCAATTTATTTTTTTTATTTTTTTATTTTATTTTTTGAGACAGTCTCACCATGTCACCTTTGGTAGAGTGACATGGCATCACAGCTCACAGCAACCTCAAACTCCTGGGCTCAAGTGATTCTCTTACCTCAGCCTCCCAAGTAGCTGAGACTATTGGTGCCCACCACAATGCCTGGCTATTTTTTTTTTTTAAGAGATGAGTTTTCACTTTGGCTCAGGCTGGTCTCAAACTCTGAGCTCAGGTGATCCATCCACCTCAGTCTCCCATAGTGCCACACCAAGCCACCAGCAGCAATTTATTAAAATAAAATAACAAGAGCTGTGGGTGATGGCTCACACCTGTAATCCCAGCACTCTGGGAGGCCACAGTGGGT